AACCCCGACAATCCTTGGCTAGAGGATTGCCTGAACCCTGCCGAACCCCCAGGAGCCCACCCCTGGATACCAATCTGTTTCTTCACCTGGCTTTTGAAATTCTGCTTCCTGAAACAGCCTGCTTTATCTATTTGAGGAAAAGGACATGCATACCAGAAACTTTACATGTAGTAATAATATTGGTTAACATGATATCTGAATTTCTTCTTTTCATCCATTGGCAACTAGGGATCTGATTTTGTCCTGACATCTGAACTGTCTGCAAAAGAATCCTGGATCAATAAACTATCCTTCAATGTAAACACATTTAGTCCCACCAAATTATTAGAAAGTGTGTTTAATATCAAGTTATTAGTTAACCTGGCTCAAATGTTGGCCTCTAACTCACATGAATGGTTGTTCTTATTGGACCAGTGAGGAACGAGAAAGAGAATACATATGCATGAATCTTGTAGGCACATGTATTAATATGGAAATGGGGTAGATAGACTTGCTTGGCATTAATTGTCCAAAATAATATGAAATATTTTAAATTCAGCAATTCTAATCTGTTTGCCACACATGCAATTTACTATTAACTAGAGATGGTAGGTTACCCATTAGGTTTTTTTTTAATCCACACACACACACTTACAATAAAAAACTTTTCTTTTTCCTGTGAGCGAGAATGACATATGATGGGAGAGCAGAAGAGGCTGCTGTCATAACAAAAAGGAATATATTATTATTTATTGGACAAACATAAGTACATAGATCTTGGATTACTATATTGGGTGACAAATGCTGGATAAGATTTTGTAAATATTGCAGAAAGATACCATTGAATTCATTCTACAGTGAATCATTCTGGAAGTCACCTTTACAAAGAAGTAGTGGCATTTTCCTCCAATATGATAGGAGATGCATTTGATCTACCATCAGTTCAGCGTGAAGAGGTTGCAAGGCTAAACAGATTGAATCTGACTAGTAATTCAATGTACATGAGCAATGAAAGTGTCAGAGAACAGAGGAGACGAGAGAGAGAGAAAGAGAGAGAGAGACAGAGACACACAGAGAGAGAAATTGGAAGCATCAGTTTGTGAAACAATGAAAATTACCCTAAGAAATAAGAAATGATTTCATCAAGTCCAATAGCAATAGCAGTTAGAGTTATATCTCTAAGAGGTCTACAGAGTCAGCAAATTGCCCCCAATCTGGGTCCTCATTTTACTGATCTCAGAAGGATGGAAGGCTGAGTCAACCTTGAGCCGGTGAGGATTGAACCCCTGGCAGTGACCACTGAGTTAGCCTACAATACTGCATTCTAACCACTGTGCCACCATGGCTCTACAAGGCCCTTGGATGGTTTACAAGAAAGGAATTTGGAACTGTGCCTTGTTAAGGATCAGGTCCCTTTCAGCTGAATTTTCATCCTCTCATTTTAAACCATAAGTTCACCAACAATATGGTAGGCAGAATCCTACTCAGTCAGTTAGTAACATAAAAATTCGTTGTTTTTAAGATTTTTTTTGGGCTGGAGGAGAGCTATGTCTCTCTATGTCTATGTATACACATACAAACCCAGCAATATTCCCATGCACATCACAAGCTTTAGGTGGACCTTGTGCAATGTCAAAACCATTCAACTATGTTTTCCAAATGTAGTCTTCAAAGCCTGGATAGAATGAAGAAGCATGAGAAAGATCTCATGGGACTGGGAAGCCTGTGGTCGAAGTTCTGTTTAAAGAGATTCTGGTTCCTCAGTTGCTAAAGGCACGTTCAATCCTTGACCTTACCAGACTCCATACATAATTTACACAAAACTATCTAGCTGCAGGTCTTCCTTTCCTTAGCTTTCTGAGAAGCAGCTTGGGTGGGAGAGAGGACATGCAGGCTGGGAGCACAATAGCACCATGAACTATCAGTCTCAAATGTTGTGCAGGCTATTCCCTTGACCCAATCCTCGCTTTTTGTATTCTCTATAAACTTCTCTTACCATATCTTCTCTGCCTCCTTTCCTTTCATTCATTAAGCTCATGAGTAGGAATTACCAAAAGTGGCTTTGATGGAATTTTAGTTTGGTTACATTCAGTGGTGGGATTCAAGTAATTTAACAACTGGTTCTCTGCCCTAATGATTTCTTTCAACAACCAGTTTGCCAAACTGCTCAGAAAGTTATCAACCAGTTCTCCCGAAGTGGTTCGAACTGGCTGAATCCCACCACTGGTTACATTAAGGGGTAACCCTACCACCTTGTTGCTGTCATCTCTTTCTTTCACTCCACAATCCCACTTGTAATCTTGGATTACAATATTGGATGACAAATGCTGGCTAGGTTTTGTAAGCATAGCAGGAAGATATCATTGAATTTACTTTTCAACGGATAGTTTCCACTTATATTTTGGCAAGGACCGTCAGTTCTCCCTCCTTCTCTTTTGCATTGCTGAGCACAGGGAAGTCCCACTCATGAATAAACAGGCAGAATTTATTCAGATATGTTCAGAGATCGTGCAAACCTGAAGGGCACAATTCATGCTATACTTCTGCTCAGCGTTCTTGTGATATGTCAGTGGCTTGAGCTTCTAGTCAACTACAGGTTTATCAAACCACAGAATACAATGAAGATGTGTGAATCAATGCCACATAACCTTAGCTCAGAGTTAGAGATGGGGAATTCTGTTGTATTTTAGTACTTCTGGGGCAAATCTGGAGGGGAAAAATTCTGTCTGTCATTCTGGAGCACCACAGCAGGCAGGAAGGATTTGAGGTAGTTTCTTTTTCATACAGTAGTGGCCAAAATTGTGGAAACTTTTGGGAAAAGTGTATTTTCTAAAACTAGCTAATAACACCACTTTTTGAGGGAGTAGTATCATAAAATTATATATTAATGGAAAGATAATTTAATCAAGAATGTAATGCAATAACTTTTATGAGGGATTTGCTATTAGAATAGCAGTTACAGTATAAAGAAGAAAAGTGAAACACGTAGAAAAAATGAGATATACAAAAATGATCACCATAGAACAAAAGAGATATACAAAAATTATCACATCAATTAATATTTAGTTGGGTAACCTTTAGCATGAATTACAGCCTTAAAATGTCTTCCCATGGAGTGAACCAAGTCTTTTAGTTCTACAGCTGTTATAATGTGAAACCAAGATTTAATGATTGCTTCTATTAACTGGGTTTTATTGCTGGGTCGTTTCTGACTAACAAGTTTCTTTAGTCGGCTCCATAGATTTTCAATTGGGTTAAGGTCTGGACTATTCCCAGTCCATTCCAGCAGTGGCCATTCCAGCATGATTATCTTGAAACTCCAAAAAAAAAAAAAAAAAAAAGTGGTGTTATTAGCCACCAGACCTCAAAAAAACACTTTTCCCAAAAGGTTTCCACAATTTTGGCCACTACTGTATATGGAAGGGTAACATATTTCTCAATAGATCCATGAGATTCCCATTCCCATGTGTGACAGACATGGAATCAATTCCAAGGGAGACATTCATTTCTTGGAGAACCACAGCTCAGCTATTTTCTTTGTTTCGAACCTTTTCCCTTAAGGAAGATACCATTTTGATTTAAGCATAGGAAATCAGATGACGCCTCTTCCTTTCATCCTTTATCCAAAATTATTGTCAGGCAGATTTTTTTTTTTTTGAACTGAAGATTGTGCTTTTTCTGTGCAGCACAGCCTTTTTGTCAAACACCCAACTTTCTAGCCATTACCATAAGAAATGTTGTCAATTTCTTTTCTTTTCTTTTTTAAAAATCATTTTAGCACTAATGTGGCTGCTTCTGGCACCCAGTCAAATCTGGCACTGTACAGCACAGGAAGTCAGTGTGGAGGGGGAGAATGCCTAACTCATCCTTTCAGTTTTGTCAGTGTGAGGGAATGCTGGACAGTACACAATCTGGGACTCTGGAAGAAGAACTAAACCTATATTAATTGGATCTCCTAATCTTCGTTTCTCTTGCTTGGAATGGAAATTTCAACTATCTCAACCCTGAGAAGATGAACATCAGTTAGAAGATATTCCAGTATATTTATATATATGTATTCATATATATATATATATATATTCCCCTATCATTTCGTGGAAACAAATTACAAGAGGCAATCCATATCATACTACTCAGCAGGCTAATGTACACATAATACTCCCAGGTACTGTAATTTGCATGCTTTTGGTGAACAACAATTCTCTTTAGGAGAGATGAATGGGTTGAAGGGGCAGTAAAGAATATTTTGGTTACACTTTTGCTGAACTACCTTTTATTGATATTTATTTGTGAGCGCTCGAATGAGATGCATTATTGCTATTTATAAGCATATTCAATACCTACAGGGAAAACTCCTGCCCAAGCACAGTTTATCTCTGTGCTACAATAAACTCATAAGAATTATTAATACATCTCAACATAAAATTGATACCACTGCTGTTGAAGAATACATGTAATATTAATAAATAGCTATAAAAAAGCATCTTGGTTTAGGGTAAGATATTTTGCAGTATGTTGATTTTTTGTTGTTGTTAAAAAAAATGAATACTTGTTATATAACAAGACAGAAACATCTCATAATGTAGATACTGATTGGAGGAGCTTTTTCATCCAAAATAAAGCATTTTAGACAAGACTGCTCTATTCACCTTCCTAAGTACAGCTTACTGAATGCAGTGACTATAAGTTCTTACTTCAGAGTAAGAATGCAAAGCATTGTGCCATTCAAACTGATGTTGTATCATCCAAGTACATATGCTTGATGATTTGAAAGGACATTCCAATTAGTAGAGTAATGGAAAATCTATTTTAATATATTATTTCTTTAGCAAACATCTCATAAAACTAGTTCTGTAAGTATTGGTAAACTTTTGAAAGTGCATAGCCATGCACTTTTAAAGCCATAAAAGTAATAATTAACTTTGAAAACCAGCATGCAGAAAACCCCAGTAATGATAACTCAGTGGCAGATATGAAGCTCAAGCAATTTGTCAGAAGCTAATTGGTCCCACAGAAGTAAAAATAGGCAGATGTCAAACACTGCAGAATTATTTGCTGATATTTTTTATTTTTTTCCAATTCTACAGATGTCTGAAACAGATACAGACATAGGGAAAGTTAGAACACAGAGCTTTGAAAATGATCAGAGAACAACTTCCGTGTTGCTGAAAGAAGGTAACTTTCTTGTTTATATTGGAATTATTAAGATTAGCATTATTACTATCATTACCTTAAAATGTTGAGAAACCAAATTCCCAGAGAACACGGTTTTATGAGAACAAACCCCAAAAGCTTTCAAAAGGCTCACAAGAAACAAACTAAGTTTCTAGGACTAACTAGAGTAAAGCAAATACGACAATGTTGGTCATCATTTCTTATTCCTCAGACAAATCTAAATTTTCCAACCAACATTTTTTTCTGGGGAAACTATTAGGTTTTCTTCATGCTATAATGTGTGTATTTTATTTTAAAAGTTGACCAAATTATTCTAAGCTTTATTGTTTGCATTTTCTCAGATATCAAATATTTAGCAAATGTATGGTTTTTTAATTCATTTATTTAAATTTTATCCACCATTCTTCTGAAAGGTCAAGGTTCTATTTAATATATATATACATTGCTTGATATGGGCTACATATTTGGAATATTTTGGAGCGTCTCCATTTTTGCTGAAAGCTTTCTTGTTTCACTGTTTTGGTTGTATTTATTTTGATGTGCTCTGCCCAGTTTTGTTGTTATGAATGAAACTCCTGTGGCCTTTGTGTTTGTATGTATAGCTGAATAAAAGGGAGTCCAAAACATTGCAGTTTTAAAAAAGTATTGGTTTCCAAATATATTTTTGTTATATTTTTGGCATGTTGGCATCAAATAACAAATCCATTCAACATTCAGTGGTACCTTGGTACTCAATTGTTTGAAACTCGGCGAATTTGGTTCTCAACACATTTTGACATGAATATTTTGTCCCGGTACTCATTGTTTGTTTGCTACTCAACACACAAGCTAGAACTCATTGGTTATGGCTGCCTTGTGACTCATTATATTGTTCCTTATGGGAAACATTTGTTTGGTACTCATCATTTTGGGTAGTCGTCACACGTCCCGGAACCTATTGCTATTGCTTAGCGCATTGTAAGCCGCCCTGAGTCTCCGGAGAAGGGCGGCATATAAATCAAATTTTTTTAAAAAAATTAATGATGAGTACCGAGGTATCACTGTACAATTATTATTTTGGAAAAATGTGAAGTAACAGGTTAGATGTGAGATTTGAGATAAATACACAAAGTTATCAATGTTATCTCTCAAGGTGTTTGCATCATTGCAATAAATGTGTAGACATTAATTCTGAACAGCAGGGCAAATTTTAAAAAGTATTAGTTTTACCTCTTCCAACTTCAGTTCATTAATATAATGGATTTTGAAAGTGATCAAAAGTGGGGGTGGGGGAGGTAAGGAAAAGGGAATGCCAAACTGACCCCAAGTTTAATCATAGTATCTAGCTAATGGAACAAATTAAATATAATTCAGTTTCATTCTCTTTGTGAAGATGAAAGCACACATATTAACAGAGGAGGAATTTTAAATTTTCATGCTTAGCTATTTTGGGCTGCTGTTGATCCTAATAGTCATTGCTAACGTCATCAGTGATGTTTAGATAAGCACCTTAAATCTGAAAATAATCCTTGGGGATTCTCAATACAATGAATCAGGAACATGGCCCAGGAGACGGTGATGCTAATTTCTATAAGAAATATGGCAAAATCCCTGTAAGAGTGCCAGAGTTCCTCAGCTAGAAGGTTTTCATAGCAACAACTCTTAGATGAACAGAATGTCTTTATGACTTTTCAGCATAGAGATAAACTGGATATGTACATTGTCAAAGGAGCATAGGTTTGCCCATTTCGAACAGTTGTCTTTGGTAAGGTCACTTAATGGTAAGGCATCTGCTTTAGGTCAAGATTTAGATTTCCCAAGTCAGTGCAGATTAGCCAGATCCTTGTGGATGAGCTAGATGGACTATTTTCTTGATGTACTAAAAGGCAGATTTTTATTTCGATGTCATCCCATTATGTGTTTCTTCATCTGTGCTTCATAGTATTTTATGGTGCATATTGGTGTCAGGTCACAATGTTGGTCAGTGTTTCAAGATCATGTGAAGTGTTAATACCACTTTATAATGCCTTGGTAAGGCCACACTTGGAATACTACATTCAGTTTTGGTTGTCACAATGTAAAAAAGATGTGGAGACTCTAGAAAGAGTGCAGAGAAGAGCAACAAAGATGAATAGGGGACTGGAGGCTTAAACATATGAAGAACGGTTGCAGGAACTGGGTATGTCTAGTTTAATGAAAAGAAGGACTAGGGGAGACTTGATAGCAGTGTTCCAATATCTCAGGGGCTGCCACAAAGAAAAGGGAGTCAAGCTATTCTTCAAAGCACTCGAGGGCAGGACAAGAAGTGATGGGTGGAAACTAATCAAGGAGAGAAGCAACTTAGAACTAAGGAGAAATTTCCTGGCAGTTACAACAATTAATCAGTGGAATAACTTGCCTCCAGAAGTTATGAATGCTCCAATACTGGAAGTTTTTAAGAAGATGTTGGATAACCATTTGTCTGAAGTGGTGTAGGGTTTCCTGCCTAAGCAGGGGGTTGGACTAGAAGACCTCCAAGGTCCCTTCCAACTCTGATATTATATTGTATTGTACTGTATTGTATTGTATTGTATTGTATTGTATTATTATATTAATATTATATTATATTATATTATATTATATTATATTATATTATATTATATTATTATATTATATTATATTATATTATATTATATTATATTATATTATATTATATTATATTATATTATATTATATTATATTATATTATATTATATTATTATATTATATTATATTATATTATATTATATTATATTATATTATATTATATTATATTATATTATATTTAAACTGTACAATTTACCATGTGGGTGTATGTTTTTCCCAAGAATCCCTATTCAATTTATAATATAATTCCAGTATTTACCCAGACAACATTTATATACATTCTGCTCAATTTGAACAACTTGTTATTGTGAAAACTGGAAACTAAATGAAAATCAGGAGGCACTAAGTTAGGAAGGGTCTAACAAAAAAAATAATGACCAGATGTCCCCTTCCCTCATATATTTTTTTTAATTTATGCTTGTCACACATGATTTTGAAACATTCATTTTCAGGACTCATAGCAAAAGAGGGAGTTGTGTAGTAGAATTTGATCTTGCCTGCTAAGAAGGAAAGCTGCATGTTCTTTTAGCATCCAATTTTAAGGGAAAGTTATTTTTATTCATGGTTTTATATTGATTATTTGTGCCTTCTAAAAGAAGCATCCAGGAACCACACACAATGGAAATAAGATGCTGAAAAGGTATGGAATGAAATGCCCTGCAGTTTCAGATCAGAATTTTTCACAAAACAACACTGGATGTATTCTTAGCTCAGCTATTGCGTACAATTCCCAACGTTTGTGATCTTTACAAGATAACCTTTAAGTGTTTGTTGGCTAAGCAGGTCATCATCTCTTCCTCGCCATTTGCATTAGAGATACTAATACTTTCTAATGTGAACACTTATAGATATTTATCCAGAAGAACAGACTGGGAACCAGAAATATGAGACATGATCTGCGAAAGGTTATACACTTTGAAGTCCATTGATTTCAAATAAAGGAAAGGAGCTTAAATTTGGGGGAAAGAGAGTTATGGTAGAAGTCTTTCAGAGCTTCACCACCAGATCAAGGTGGGCTGAGCTGGTGGTAGACAACTCAATATTGGGAATAGGCCAGTTTGTGGGTTGTCCACTAGTGCCCTGAAACAAGTTATTATAGGAAATAATGCTGAACCATCAAAGTCAAAAATGAACCAACAGTATTTTTGATAATGCCAAAGTCAGTGATGTAAAATTAAGCGTGAAACTGCCAATAATCTTATTAGTGACTATAGTCAAATTGCTCATTTTATGGCACCATAATAGGATTGCAAAAATTGTCCATTGGAATTTATATTGTGTTTTGTGGAATTATATGTTTCAAAACTGTCAAGCCGCCAGAGAAATCAGGAAATTCAGGCAGAACAAATGAGTATAAAGATTTATTGCAAGCTCTCTACAAATTCTGAACTACTAACAGTCAAGGGAAATTCACAAGTGTTAAGGACAGAGAGGAAATCAAGGTGGGCTGGACTCAGATCTCTTGTGGGTATACAGGAACTCGTAACTGATGACGCGTTTGACCCCTTCCTCAGGTTCAGACTCAGCCTGGTCATCTTCTACAAAAACATTTTGCAAAATGAGGAGATCAGAATTCTCTTAAAAACTAATTCACCAGACATTACTGTTATGGAAAAGAAGGAGGGATAGAGCCTGTTAAATGAAAAATCAGTTGATAAAAATCATGATTTACAAATTGAGAGCAACATTTCATGGAGGAAAAAAATCAATTGCCATACTGATTGCGTCAGTATCATACCAAAATAATTCAGCAATTATTTAGTTATACTTGTAGAAAATGTAAAAAACAAACAATTATATGGATTAGTAGAAAAGATCTTCAGAATACTGTAACAGTGCCAGCATCATCTAAATTTACAGCTATTAATGATGTTTCTTAAACTGAACACTTTATGATACAGGTACTTACAACTTACAACCATAACTGAACCCAATTATGATTGGTACAACCCAACTGAACCCATTGTATAATTGAATTGTACAATCTAAATTGTGGTAGAGATTAAGTGGGTAAACATGCGACCATGTCCAATTTTACAAACCCTTGTTGTGGAGGTCATTAAGCCTGGATAGCTCTGCAGACAAGGCACTGTAATTTAACACCAGCTGTCTGCAATTAAAGTAAGTTCAAATCTTGCCAGGCTCAAGTTGACTCAGCCTTCCATCCTTTCTAAGGTAGGTAAATTGAGGACCCAGTTTGTGGGGGCAATAAGCTGACATTGTATAAAATATACAAAAGTATGAAGGCTATTGCTTAACGCACTGTAAGCCACCCTGAGTCTCCGGAGAAGGGCGGCATATAAATCAAATTAAAAAAACAAAAAAAGCAAACACCAGGCTCATGGAGCAAACCATTTTCACAAAGGGTTGGAAACTGGAAATAATTTGCCAAAAAA